GCCAACCAAATATAGCCGGCGACGGCAAGGTACGAGCCAGCCTGAGCAGCAGTTTTGTTGGGTTGTGAAAGAAAAAGACAGAACTAAATTTGGACGAACACAAAATAAGGGGTCTAAACCTTTTATTCGGCAGAGTTGTAGCTCTTAACCTGCTGTCGCGGTCTTCCTCATTAGTGTCGGTGTCGTGGATCTGGCAGGTTGACGTAAGAACGAGAACTAGCGCAATAATTCCTCATGTAACTTGATATATTCTGAGTGCTTCTCTCTTTAGAAGGAAAAACACGACTGAGCCTCTTCCTTACGGTCTCCCTACGACCTAGAAGCTCCTTCCTTACCAGCCCACAAATCTTTACCACGTAGAGGTCCACAGCGAGGTACCTCCTCACTCCCCCCATTCCAGTCCCACTCTAGACGTGGAACGCTGACGTCTGCTCCTCTTGCCCTTGCTTGTAGTATGTAGCCCGTTGACCCTGTAGTGAGTAGACCTCCAGAATGCAACCCGCGAGAATAGCGAGCCCTCCATCTAGCTGTTGACCGTGACAATTCTCCCCGACTGACCCTCGGTGCCCTCGCCGAGCCGCTCCACCCGACGACGGTCGCACGGTCTTATCAACAGCCACATCTGGAACGCCACCCGTCGGCGTTCAATCCGATTTTACGGTCGCAGCTTGAGTCACCGTAGGTGTTCCTTTCACTTGTACCCCGCGTAGACGCGCTAAACTAGCACGTTTCCTTTCTTCGCGGCGCCCTATGCGCCCGGCAAGTCCATCCCACCCTTGCTTCACGTTTGACCCCAGTCTTGTCTTCCTGTTGGGACGACACGCCCAGTACTAATGCAGCCCATGGCTATAGCTGTGGTGAAGCGACAGTTGGCTTTTGCGAACACGAAGCTGATTGATGGGAAGCGACCCGATCCAGTCCTGAGATCCATGGTCGACGGCGGCGCGCCAGTGATTACGCCATCATAGGTGAATATTACAAAACCATCGAAGTGGATCGACATGATGCAATCATTTCGATACGCGATCTGTCCTCAAGGATTCGATCTATTGTGGACATATCAACTGATTTGTACACATGGTAAATACCCCCCCCCCCCCC